GGGCCACGGCCCGGGGGGGGTGCGGAGGGCCGCCAGCGAGGCGGAGGCAGGCGAGGATGGCCGGAGCCTCCTGGCAGCCCCGTGTTGTGTCGGACACAGTCTCTGGTCCGAGAGAGTCGGTGTCCCTGAGGCCACCTCACCCAGGGGAGCCCGTATGTTTTCAGAACTGCTTTGCAATGGAGGGCAGGTTACCAGTCGCCCCAAAGTCGGGACCGAGCGCTTGTGCGGCTCCTACGTTGTCCCTTTGAAGACCTGGGCTTGCCGTGGGCTCAGAGTCCCAGCTCCCCTCTGCTCCGAGGCTGCGGGCCAGGCTGGCCTGTGTGCAGGTGACTGGGAGCCGGTGGCCTGCGTGGCAAGGGCTTCTCCGTGGACACGCCTCGGCTGTCATTTCAGAAACGTCTGCCAAGGAAGGGCTGCTGCTATGGTGCCAGCGGAAGACCGCGCCGTACCGGAACGTGAACATCCAGAACTTCCACACCAGGTGAGTGCCAGGCCGACGGCCTGCGGCGGGGTGGCCGGGGGCACCCGCGGCTTCCTGCTCCTGTCCGAGAGGCTTTCATGGCTGGAGAACTAGGCCAAGAATTCTCCATGCTCGAGGGCTGGGGTGCCGATGGGACAGCACTGCGTGTGCGTGTGCGTGGCGTCAGGGCAGGTCTGCGTTCGCGATTCGGGGTACGAGGACGCAGCCTTCTTTAGCCTTTGCTGGGTGTCGGAGAAGGTGACGGGCTGTCCCCTGTGCCTTGCCGAACATGGGAAGGGACTTACTCCCTCAGCTGTGCTCTGCCGAAGTTCAGGGAAAGTGGAAAATCACAATTGAGTCACGGAGGAGCCGGGTCACATGGGACCCAGATACCGCGGGAGCCCCGCCGCCCTTCTCTGCTCCCTCATGCAGACGTGCGTCCCGTCTGTGTGAGCAGTGGGGTGGTTGCATGCTCGCCTTCGGAAGGTGGGCTCCTGTGAGTGCAGACGGGCCTGACACTGGCCGTGGGTCAGCAAAGGCAGGAGCAGGTGAGCCACTGCGAAGGTTAGGGAGCTCCTAGGTGGGCAGCACCACAGTGTTGGCGGAGCCAGGCGTTGGCAGAGGACGGGGAAGGCCTGCACCTCCTTGCTGTGCGGCCACGAGCAGCTGGTGTCCCTCAGCCCAGGCCTGGGCTGACCCCATAAAGCTCCTTTCCTTTCTCCCCGGCCCAGATGCCCCAGCCGGTCTCAAGGGGAAACCCAGCCACCCTGTCAGGGTTTCCTCCTGCCCTGGCCTTTGGAGGCTCTGAACCCCGACTCGTGGCACCCACAGCCTGCTGCACCCCATGAGGTGGTCGTGCTGGCTGGGCAGCGGTCTGGAAACAATACCCTCCTGCCTCTCCCGCCTGCCTTTGCCTTAAAGCGGGAAGGCAGGGGCGCTGCCATGAGCTGAACTTGGGGGAGAGCTTCCTGGTCAGTGCCGGGTGGGGGCCGCCCTTCTGCATGTTTGCTGGGCAGAGCCTGAGGCGGTGCCAGGACAGAGCTAGGCTGGAAGGGTGGGGCTCCTGCCGGACAGTGGAGGGCAGAGCCTTGGCCAGACCCTGAGATGGGAAGGAGGGGAATGAGGGGTGGAGATGGCAGTGAGCCAGGGCCCCCAGCTGGTGGGGTGGGGTGACGGGAAGGGGCGGGGCCTCCAGGCCTCACCTGCCAGGAGGAAGGGACAATGGAGGCCGCCCGCACTGAGTCACCCTGCTCTTGCTTCTCCGCCGGGCGCAGCTGGAAAGACGGCCTGGGGCTCTGCGCCCTCATCCACAGACACCGGCCCGACCTCATCGACTACTCGAAGCTCAACAAGGTCATTCTGGGTGGCCTGGCATGCAGTGTCCCCGTGTGCACCCAGCATGTCACCCCGAGAATGAGCACCCCAGCACTGACCCCACACAGCCCTGCTACGCAAGGCCCCCCCAGGGAAGCCGGGCCTCCCAGCAGGCCTCCCCCTTCTTGTAGCAGGGAGAGTGCCAGGAGACGCTGAGCTCCTGGGAGGCCAGACTTGGGCCGTGTCGTCGGTCGGTTCTCTCAAGACCTCCAGTCCCCACGTTGCAGGGAGGAGCGGGGGCTGCTCCCGGCTTTTCTGAGACTCCTTTCCTTTTCTGGAGGAGCTGGCCCTCAGGGTCGAAGGCCTTCACCCTCACACAGGAACAACCTCAGGACTGTCCCAGCAGGGAAAGGAGACTGCTTGGGGTCTCGGGACTTGTTCTTGTTGCTTAGTAGTTTTGCTCTTTTTCAGAAAATTCAACCTAGAAAAAAAAATTTTTTTTGAGAGGTTTTTGCTATAGGGCGTGTGCTCACCAGACAGACAGAGAGACAGAAAGTGAGAAATCACCCCCCGGGGAGGATGGCCGCGCCACAATCCCTTCTCCTCCATTTTCCTCTCGGGATCTTGGGCACACACACACACACACACACACACACACACACACACGCCCAGCGTGAGTTTTAAGCCACCAGGTCTGGGACGCGAACCGCGGTTGACTACGTGGGGCTAACTGCTGGTTCCGTACCTAGAAATTTTTTTAAGGGAAATTTTTACTATAGGTTGTATATGCTTACCAGAGAGATGGAGAGACAGAGACAAAAAGCAAGCAATCACCCCCAGGGGCTGGCTGTGCTGCAGCCCCGTCTCTGTTCTCCCGTCTGGATCTTGGGCACACATGCACACACGCCTGTGTGAATTTGAAGCCTCTGGGTTCAGGACTCAGACCATGGCTGGCTACGTGGGAGTCCAGTAATGTAACTAATAACACCAACTGCTCATTCCTCCACTTAAAAAAAATATTTTTGGAGAGGTTTTTGCTGTAGGGTGTGTGCGCTTTCCTGAAGGACAGAGAGAGACAGAGAGACAGAAAGACAGAAAGTGAGAAATCACCCCACAGGGGGATGCCCATGCCGCAATCCCTTCTCCATTCTCCTCTCAGGATCTTGGGCACACACACACACACGCCCAGTGTGAGTTTAAGCCACCGGGTCCGGGATGTGAACCGCGGTCAACTACATGGGAGTCTAGAGATACAGCTGTTATGTCAACCGCTGGTCTCGACTTAGAAATTTTAATTCTTCCCTTACGTGTAAGGTTCAGTGTTCTTAGGTCTCAGGTGAATGTTTGAATTCTTTCTTTCTTTTTTTTTGAGAGGTTTTTGCTATAGGGCGCGTGCGTTTGCCAGACAGACAGAGAGAGACAGAGAGATAGAAAGCAAGAAATCACCCCCCAGAGGGGATGGCCACACTGCAATCCCTTCTCCATTCTCCTCTCGGGATCTTGGGCACGCACGCACATGCGCCCGGCGTGAGTTTAAGCTGCCAGGTCTGGGACTCGAACCGCAGTCGGCTACATGGGTGCCCAGCAACATAGCCATTACGCTAACTGCTGGCCCCTGAATTCTTTCTTTAAAAGTAGTTTTTAAAATGTTTTCTGTGATGGAAAAAGGAACCAGTGTCTTCCCAAATCTGGTGCTGGGTGGGCCATGTGGCCTAGAGCTAGGATTCCGAAAATTCCGGGGGGAGCACGGTCCACACTGGGCACTCCCGAGGTCGTCCACGTTCTGCACACACTTCTCACCCGGGCCGTGTGCTGGCCGCCCGTGCCATTTACTCACCGCCCTCTGCCATGTGCTTGCCACCATGGCCACCCGCG